AAAAACTGAAGTGCCTCAGCATCTGCCAGACTCACCCCACAGCCAGTGATCCATCTGTGCAACATCTATTCATTTTCTTAACTGCTGGTCTGATTCAAGGTCATGTGTAGCACCATACATACAGAATATTAGAATATTTGTTGGAAAGCATACCTTTAATGACATGTTTTGGCAAAAGGTTTAGAGATTTTTCTTTGGCTATAACTGCAATGTAATTATCAGACTGATAATAAACAGAGATTATGTTCTATTCCTCAAGTCACTGATCGTCTGTGTCTTTTATCCAATATATACAAAGCTATCACAGTTTACCTATAACTATAAATACATGATCTTAGTCACAGATGATAATTGTGGTGGAAGATTTATTTTCTGATGTCTTGATCACACATTTTAACCATATCACTTTAGTAATTGTAGAATCACTATGCCAGCAGTTGTATGCATGTGCACTACAAATGGGCCTTATGCTTGTTGTTGGCCTAGGAAGCTTGTCACTGATCATACATACACAATGGGGCCACTGTAAGTTCATGGGAGACGTTAAACAGATAGTGGGGCTCCTTCTGGTTATCAGGGATGTCAATCTCCAGATGAATGCTAAGCAGAAAACAATGTCGTAATTCTCTCTCTGAAGAGAAGGGTTTCAAGGTGAGCTGAAGGTATAGACTCACCTGATGTGTTGAGGAATTTTCTTTGTCCCTGAGTTTGGTCAAGGCATATAAGACATGAGCAACCGTGCCCATTTTCAAAGACTGCTTAGGGTGTCGAACTCCAGGCCTCGAGGGCCGGTGTCCTGCAAGTTTTAGATCTCACCCTGGATCTGCGCACCTGAAACAAATGATTAGCTCATTATCAGGCCTCTGGAGAACTTCAAGACATGTTGAGAAGGTAATTTAGCCATTTAAATCAGGTGCGATGGATCAAGGACGCATCTAAAACCTGCGGGACACCGGCCCTCGAGGCCTGGAGTTCGACACCTGTGCTATAAGTCATTACTCACATACTGTGCCGCCCTAATGAATGAATTTATGCTGTAAAATAAAAGTTATAAAAACACCTTAGTAGTTACAGGTGCCCTGTTTCTTCACAATTTTCATGACAAATTTGTTTTTGTTTTGTTTTTTTCCTTTTTTTATTCCAACTGATGCTTCTTGATTCAATTCAGTTTTATTTATGCGGTGCCAAATCACAACAACAGTCGCCTCAAGGTGCTTTATATTGTAAGGTAGACCCTACAATAATACATACAGAAAAAAACAGCAATCATATGACCCCCTATGAGCAAGCACTTTGGCAACAGTGGGAAGGAAAAACTCTCTCTTAACAGGAAGAAACTTCCGGCAGAACCAGACTCAGGGAGGGGCGGCCATCTGCTGCGACCGGTTGGGGTGAGAGAAGGAAGACAGGATAAAAAACATGCTGTGGAAGAGAGACAGAGATTATATGACAGGTATGATTCAATGCAGAGAGGTCTATTAACAGACCTTCTTCAGAATAGATATTCCTGTGTGAATATCTCGTTAAAAAAAAAACACGAGGCATGCACTTCACCACAACCAAAACTCAAAACTGAGTAAAACACCATAACCATGTTACAAGAAATACAACATCTACACCAATATTTAGTTAAAGAGAGTTTTTTCATGGTTCAGGGGATGCTCAGCAGAGGATGATTGATGCTAAAGTGTACAATTTGTCAGAATTAGCCCATTAAAATGAAAAATGTTCCCTTTTTAAAGAAGGAAAATAAATTTAGTCTTTTCATTTAAATATATATATTTTTAAACTGCTTAAAAATATAACCTGACATTATGCTAGCTTCTAGCTTTGCTTGAAAGTGTTAAAAATAAACCAGATGACACAAACTAAAAAACTTGAAAGTCGACCAAACACATCGAGAGGTTGAGGGATATGAGCAAGGAATGAACAATCTTTACAATGGATCTCTCTGCATCCTTCAAAATAACCCCTTTTATTTTCTACTCATCTCAAGCTGTCAGATCCACATTATTCAGCTCAAGTTGCTGAGAATGAGAAGAAGACTTGAGAATGAATGAGCGTTTTTAGTTTAGCACAAGTATTTTACTGTTTATTAGTGTTGATATTTATTATTTTCTGTTCCACCTGGAGGTCACCTGGGTCGAATATGCCCATAATTCCCTGACCTCCTCTTCCACCAGGTTGTCTTCATTCAAAGCCTCTCTAAGGTATCAAACTGCTGATCTTTGTGAGCCTAAATTGCCTGTTTGATCAGTCCCACTCCATCTTCCTTGCTGTTGACATCTGTGGAAGTACATCAAAACAGCCTTGCTTCAAACAGCAGAACAGAATAAGTAGCTGACAGATCGTTGTTGGACCGGCTATGCTGCAGGTCAAAAGGGTTTTTTTTCCTCTAAAAATATTCTCTTACAAACCGAGTCTAACAAACCAAATTTCATTAGACCCTTTAAAATAGACACCACAGTTAAGCCTGCCTCTGGATCAAACTGTGGATCAAATTGGATCATTCTGTGGATGGATCATGGATCAAACTGTGCTCCTCATGCTATTCCTGAGCCATTTCTGTTTTGTGGCAGGGCACATTATTGTGATGAAAGAGGCCAAAGCGATCAGGGAGTACTGTTTCCATGAAAGGATGTTCATGGTCCATAACAGTGCTGAGGTAGGCGGTACATGTCAAAGTAAAGTCTGCATGGGTGGCAGGATCTAAAGCTTCCCAGCAGAAAATTTCCCAAAGCATCACACTGCCTCAGCCAGCTTGCCTTCTTCCAATAGTGCATCCTGGTACCAGGTGTTCCCCTGTTAAGAAATGCAAACTCATCCGGTCCTCCAGGTGATGTAAACGAGAACTTGATTGATGAGACCAGGCCACCCTCTTCCATTCTTCTGTGGTCCAGTTCTGGTGCTGTGGTGGACAGGGGTCAGCATGGGCACCCTGAGTGGTCTGTGGCCATGCAGCCCTATATGCACCAAACTGTGATGCTCTGTGTATTCTGACACCTTTCTGTCAGAACCACCATGAACTTTTTTTGATGATCTGCGTTAAAGTAGCTAATCTCGAAATACACAAGCCAGCCAGTGAGGCTTGGGTCCCCATGACCCTGTTACTGATTCATCACTGTTCCTTTCTTGGACAACTTTTGATAGATACTGACAAATGCAGACCAGGGACACCCCAAAAGAGCTGTAGTTTTAGAGATGCTGTGACTCAGTCGTCTACCCATCACAATTTGTTCCTTGTCAAACTTACTCAAATTCTTACTATTACACATTTTTCCTGCTTCTAACACATCAATTTGAGGATGAAAAATTCACTTTCTACCTAATATATAGGGGTGAATTTAAAAAAAAAAAAACAATCGATTTTCCGATCCAAATCTTAGTTTGAATAATGTGAAATCGATTAATTAAATCCTCAATGGATTTTTAAATATAAGTGTATTTTGCCAGAAATGCAAAAAAAAATATCAAGTGAAAGCTCACAAACAATTAAAAAAAATGTAAAACAGCTAAAACCGCAAATGAGAGCAGGTAAAAGGATTCTACAAAAAGATGCTCTGCTTCACTTCAGCAGCATCAGGTAATGGTCATATGTTGATTCATGGTTTTCTTGTTCTACTGCAGAATATTTTTAAGGTTATCTGCTATAAAACGCCAGGTCAGGAAAATCACCTTCATATTTTTCAGTTTTATTCTCAGTTACTTTGACACAAAGGCATCTGCTGTGATGTTTACACCTCTGAAGTCTCACAAGTATGAGATGTGTTTTTATACATATATATAACTATATGGTTATGTACTGTTAAATTATCAGAATTATAATGTGACTCAAAAACTGCAAGGTGCCCAGGTCCTGTGGCAAGTCTAAATCATCACAACCTTCACCACCATACTTTGACAGTTGGTGTGAGGTGTTTGTGCTGATGTGCTTGTTTGGTTTTCACCAAATGCGATCCTGTGTTGTGCATTACGGCAGCGGTCCCCAACCCCCGGGCCTCGGACCGGTACCGGTCCGCGAGAGTTGAGGCTCAGGTGTGAAATGTATGGTTTTCAGGGTTTTTATCGGTTTTCAGCATTATTTTGTTATCGTTTTTATCGTTAACTCGGTTTTCCTTGGTCTTTTCACGTGTGTTATGAATAAAACTTATTTTTTTCGGTACCGGTACTAGTTTTATTTTGTTGTATTTATCCGCGACACCTTAAAGGCCGGTCCGTGAAAATATTGTGGCGCAAAAAAGGTTGGAGACCGCTGCTTTACGGCCCAAAATGTTTGATCTTTTCTGTCTAATTCAAATTGTTCTAAAAGTCTTGTGGTTTATTTACATCAAACTTTACAAACTTAAGCTGTGTTGCCATGTAGAAGAGGTTTTCACTACCACCATTCCAAGCACGCTATACTTTTAATCATTTTTTTTAATTGAACTGTCATGAACTTCAACACTTAATATGCCAACTGAGATCTGTAGAGTCTGAGATCTAACTCTGGTGTATTTTGAAGCTTCTCTGAGCATTACACAGATTAGCACCTAGCAGCTACTTACTCTCCTAATTTCTTTTGAAACAATAAGGGAGTCTAAAGCACTCTGAGTTGTTTGAGAGACTAGACTAGAGCTATGAAAGTCATGTAAAAAAGAACGTTTCCACTGGACTCTATGCAGTCCTGCACACCAAATCACCAGTTAACCTAACATGCATTTCAAAAGAAATTGGAAACCTATGGAGGCACAAGGACTACATACAAACTCCACATAGAAAAGTGTTAACCAGGAACCTTTGTGCCCCACATGCATTTTGTATCATTTGGAGCCATTTTCTCTGCATGTTTTCTCTGCATGTTTACATGACTATAAATAATCAGTCATCAGATTTAGCAAAGAACTAATATATTTGCATTTTCTTCTATTGTTCCATGTCATCATACTTTTACTCTTTCATGCTTTGACTTATACTGTGTTTGTGAGAGGCTGCAAAATCTTAAAGATGACAAAACATGATTATTTGACTGTAAACATTTTATATCATTTTGCACAACAGGACATTTTAATTCACTTAAATGTATTAATTTCTCTTTATCTCTTAATGATTCTTCAGTCAATAACTGACTCTTATTGTAAGAATAACATTCAGACATTCAGACTTCATCTGTAACTGAAGTGTTAAACACAGCATCTGTTTACTATAGTTGTATCTCTTAGCAGATCTTGAAGGATTTCAGTTTAAAGTCTCCTGTGACTCTGATGTAGCTGATGGTACCCATACCAACACGATTTGGAAACTGGACTTCCTGTCCATCAGGAAGTTCCACCTCAAATGTGTCTTCAGCCAGTTTCAACACAATCTGAAACAGAAGAAAAATTAACAAGTAAACATTTTTTCCAAGACACAATCAATTGCAACCCAACTTGCATCCCCCAGCTTAATATCTGCAAGAGTATTAGTGTGTTTTTTGTGTTTTATTTGGGTAAACCAAACATCCATTTGATCTAATCAAAAACCTTTGTGATATTTTTAATACTCAGACACTCAGTACATCATCAATTACTTCGATCACATTCCCTCACCTTGACATCAGCACCCCTCTGTAGGGGGTTGTGAATTTCCCGTTTTTCATCGCCCCAGCAACCAGCAATCTTTGAGTTGCACACCAGCACAGCACCATCAGTGTCATCATGGAACCGAGGATTGAAGTGCAGTGCCAGGTCATCTGCATCACAGCCGAGATCGATCTGGAATCTGTTGATCAGAGGTTGTACAAACTAGGTTTTAATATCAATGGCTTGCAGAGCTTTGAACACATGATCACACAGTGGAGTACAAGATATAATATAATTTGTAAAAGTCCACTTTGTGCTAGATTAGATTTTCCTACTGCAGGATTAACAGCATATGTAGCTTTCATTCAGTTTATATGGTTACCATACTGAAAAAATAAATGTTATGTTTTATTAGCTTACCTCTCTGCATCATGCAGAATTACCCCTTTTATTTTCAGCTCATCTCCGGCTCTCAAATCCACATTCTTCAGTTCGAGTTCCTGAACACATGGTTAGAATATAATCTGAAGAAGTCTTGAGAATGAAATAACTTTGCATTTTCAGTTTTGCAAATAATTTATTAAAGGATAAAATGTAGTTAATTTGCTGACATGTAGTGGCATACACAAACCTAAGCTTACCATACTCATACTGGTTGCTGGTGAACAGTCCTGGATGATAGAGTTTCAACAGAGGTACAGTCTACCGTGCCGGGAGAAAAAAAAGGTAAATTGGGTAACTGTGAATTCTAGTTTATTTATGATGCAAGACATGAGTTTTAGTAAGTTTCTCTTTTGACACTGACTCATCCAACATCATCATCATCTTTGCCAAATACCATATTCAGTACAAGCACCACTCTGTTTAATCACCTGTAACAGCAAATTAGTATATGAACAAATTAGTGTGATTTTTGTATTTTTCATTGGAATTCATTTTGCACATTAATGAGGGCCTTCAATATACTGCAGATGACTCTAGAACAAAATAATCTATACTAGTGCACCATACCCATGCAATACGTCTATTTTGCCACAATTGTATTTGTATGCTTTGTATGTATGTGGACAGTTAAACCTTTACTCAAAAAGCCATCTCTAGACCCAGTAGTCTTAGCTAATTATAGGCCAATCTCCAACCTTCCTTTCATATCAAAAATCCTTGAAAGAGTAGTTGTCAAACAGCTAACAGATCATCTGCAGAGGAAT